TTGCAGGCATTGTGATGGAGTGGAAGAACACTCTCTGAAGAGCTGCAGTCTGGAGCATGGGGCCATGAGTCTCTGGGGTTAGTGCACTCTCTACTCCAGGCTTGGTAGCCAAGCCCACCTTTTAAAGTCAGGCTGTACGTGATTCTTGTACTATTTTAGAACACAAGGGAAAAGACTTTCACTTAGAAAAAACTGCCTGTCAGATTCTACGCTTATTTTAAATGCCTAACTTTTATACTTTTGTTCTCAGAAAGGTGCCTTTGTAAGGATGTCTACTAGAGACTCCTTTTCTTGGTCTCATGGCAGCTTCATTTCTACCTAGGTCTGCCTGGCCTGGGCATGCAGAAAAACAGTGCTATAGACCATTTCTGAACCCAACTCCTTCCTGCCCAATGGCATGAAATTTGGACTTTTCTGTTGCTCATGGACTCAGAAAGCAGCAGGGCGTCTACCCACTTTACAACCAATTTGCAGGCCACACATTGTGGATCTCAGAGTTTAATCCAAGGAGAATTTTATAGACACACACTCCTTTCCACACCAAAGTCTCCATGGCTCTCTACCCCTTGCAATGCCTAGGTGTTTCTCCAAAGAAAATGGATGCTGTGGTTATAGCCTAGGGAATAAACACTCTAAAGGCTTGATCATGACGTATCTCAGTGAAGAGAAATGAACGCCATGATTCTCCTACTCAGGTGGAATTCCTTCAGAAGTTAGATTTACTTAAAAAATTCCACAAATCTTTGGAAGGAATAGAAATCATGTGATCATTTTTATTTAGTTGGTAGCAGTAAAACAAAAACAAAAGCATGCATAATTTGATTTCATTGGTAGCAAAATAAAGCTACAATGAGCACAGATTTACTTGTGCTTACTTACTAATCTGTAGGGAGCAATTTCACAGTTTTTTTTTAAACTGTATCAGACATTATGGCTGGAGTCTGTCTCTCTCCCACCTTCTTACACCTTCCTCCACACCTTCCTCCAGAACCAAAGCCTCCTTCCAAACTTGTAATTCCTGACGGGGACAGATTGCCCAGCATGCAAGGTAAGGTTGGGCTTACGTGTACTCACTCATCTGTAGGGTACAATTTCACATGTGGTGAAAACCATGTGAAACTGTTCACTATAGATGAGTAAGTAAGCACAAGTCAGTCCCTGCTTACTTTGCTTGTTGGGTAATCTGTCCCTGTTAATTCTCTACCCTCAGGAACTGTGTGCAGGTGTTAATTCTCCACCCTCAGGAACTGTGTGCAGAGCTTCTTCCATAGGCTTGTCATGGGACCAGATATTCCTACCACGCTCTTGATTATGAGCTTTTTACTTGATCCCATCCTGTCTCTCTCCCACCTTCTTACACCTTCTTTTATGGTGTAGATGGGTGTCACATCTACACCATAAAAAAAAAAAAAAAAAAAAAATGAGATCCAGAGTAATTTTCCCAGTTTTTGTATATTTAAAAAATGATTTAAGAAAATGTACATTTTTCTGGGCTTGCTTTCATCCACTGATTTGATATTGTGAAGAGGCAATATTATACCAAGAGTGAGACTGTCACAGCCCAGTGGCACAATGGATTAATGAGACTTGCTTCTCTTCCTTTGGAGGACTGACATCTCCTACCCCTAAAAGCTTTCAATGGTCTGCTCCCTTTCATCTTTCTACACCCGTGAAAAAGGAGAAAAACAGGGCTTCATAAATTATCCATTGACTTGAGGCAAAAACATCATTTCAAGGCCTAAATGACCTGATGGTCTGATTAGCAGCCAGGTGGGTATATGTTGATGGGTTTGTAGTTCTCCTGCCACTCAATTTCAGGGGAGTTATTAGAGTTCTGAGCTGCTAGGAGAGACCTGATTGAGTTTTTCTTAGGCCATAAATAAACCAGGAGCTATTTCCTGCTAGTGGGCACCTACTGATTATAGCCTGGTCTTCTAAACATGCCAAACAATCTGTCCTCCTAAATACTGGAAAAGAGTTCTATAACCTCTGGGGTGGTAACAACGGAGGACTGGTACAAAGGCATTTATAAAGGTTGGCTTGATGGAGCCTCTGTCACAAAGATAACAGTAGCTTCTTTACAGTGGCATCAAATGGAGTGCTTGAAGCAAGAAAAGGAAACTGTTTTAATCTATTTTTCATTCACTTTAAGAGTGCCTAGAAGCTCTGATGGCATAGTGGTTAAAACACTCGACTACCAACTTAAAGTTGGCAGTTCAAACCAACCAGCTGCTTCACGGGAGAAAGATGAGGCAGTCTATTTCTGTAAAGTCTGCTTTCCAAAGCACTGGAAATCCTACGGCAGTTCTACTCTGTCCCATAGGATTGCTCTGAATAGAATCAACTCGACAGCAGTGTGTGGGTTTAAGAGTGCCTTCATTTACATCATTGGCTGACCCTCAGGATTAGCAAATATTTCATTGACTGTTTCCACACAAAAGCATCCTTGGGAGTAGTTTATTTTACACCTGTGTGGCAGAGGTATCATGCATGCAAGTAGCCACACTGGGGTTAAAACAGGGGCACTCTTCCTGCAAGGGCCACTTCTCAAATGTACCTCCAAGTATCTCAACTGACATCATTGCCCCTGGCGGTCTCCTATGTGGCTTTAGCCTTAATTCAGATAAGGCTAAATTACTGGCTAGGTCCAGTAATCTACAGAAATTTGCTTAAAGTTTGGAACATAGTAGAGAAATTATGGGTAATGCTTCAAACACAAGTTATATTTCCCTTACTTTATCATTTTCTTCTTAAAGGTTTATTTAGCTTGAGGGAAAGGCAGCACTGCGCCTCTTGGCAGGGAAACCCTACAGCACACCAGCACTCCACCTTGAGGTGAGCAAGGGCCGTAATTGTTACCCTGTTTGCACAAATTGCAAACAATCTAAAGGTACCTGGCTTAAGCAAGATGACAGAGGGCAAAAAACAACTTTACAATCTGTTTCCAAGAGACCATAGGTAAATTGTAGTTTAAAAAATGATACCTCTTGAAGTCCAGTAAGTAACACTATTTATGTGAAAAACCAGCAGTAATATCATTCTTGGTAACAGAACTTTATTTAAATTTTTTTTTTTTTTTTTTAAAGAGTAAACTGGGCTAGGTAGATAATCTATATATTCAACAATACCATCATTTATCAAATCTTGTCAACCAGAGGTATTCTAATCTCAGACAAAATATGTCTAAATTGAACCTAAGACCTTATTTATGTATTTGTTTTGGGAGGGAATGAAGAATGAATGGGAAGAGGCTGAAAGGAGTCACGCTCACTAGCAACTCAAATGGCTGCTCCCAGGGTTTGCTGTTTCTCAAGCAGTTTTGTTGATGGTTTCATTTGGGTCTGGTTGTTAAGTTTTAGATGTTCAATTGAAATAAACAGAAAATAGCTGCGAAGTTCAAAAGAAATTGTGATGAGCACGTTCTACTAAAGTACCTTAGAGGGTTGGGTTTCACTTTTACAAAGCCCTGACACCGCCTTCTCCCACTTAGGGAACTTCATGTCACCCTGACCTTTGTTTAGGAAATATAGCAGACACAGACTGATTTTGTTTTATGCCTCTCTCCCTTCCTCTCTGTTCCTTCCTTCCTTTTCATCACACTCCTCCGAAAGCATTTTTATCTTCCATTCTCCATGTTGGTAATCTCTCTTGTCCACAGACACACATGCACATACACACTCACTACCATTCACTGCCATCTACTATCTACTGGTCATTAATTTCCAGAGACCACAGTTGGCTCCTCGTTGTCCCAGAGCAGATGAATACTGTTTGGCACTGATTCTGGAACTGGAATCTCCAGGGCATTGCTTGCCATGTGACCTAACAAGGGGGCCCTTTTACCCAAGTACATATTAGCTCTCAAGTGGGAGTTTAAAGTTGTTGTTGTTGTTAGGTGCCAGTGAGTTGGCTCCGACTCATAGTAACCCTGTGTACAACAGAACAAAACGCTACCCAGTACTGCACCGTCCTCACAGTCGTTGCTACGCTTGAGCACATGATCGCAGCCGCTGTGTCATCCATCTCATTGAGGGTCTTCCCTTTCTTTGCTGACTCTCTCCTTTACCAAGCATTTAATAAAATTTGGAGTAGAAACACATTCAAATAATTATAGGCAGATTTGGGGATGACTCTGAAAGCAGCTATCTCCACGCTCTCATGCCTGGGTCATGGGAGGAGGAAGGTGAGGATTGTGGGAGTGCAGCTCTCTTAACTGGAGGGACTTGGTGCTCGTGCAGAACGTACTTCCATTTGAAAGCTCTAACGAGCTTTCTACTTTCTCCCAAGACCTTATACTCCATTCACATTTTACTGATTTTTATATAAAAAGTGAGGAAACATGTCAAATGTTTACTAGGAATCTAGGAATCTGAGTCTACTAATAAAGGTATGTAGTCTTCCTCTGGGTATACAAAATTTCAAGATCACTAGTCATGTTTGCTATTTTTTTTTCTCAATGAAAAACCACACAAGAGACCCCATATTTGCAGTCTCTCAGTCACTCTTCTGACTTAACAGCTCTAGCCAGGTGGCTGAGTCTTAGCCACTCAATGCATAATCATCTCTGGCAGATACAGCCTGGCATTGCCAATTCTGTGGTGTGTGTGTGTGTGCACGTGCACGTGCACGCACAAGGGTGTGTACACATCAGCCCTGGTCATCTAGCCAGGGAGGAATCATGTAGACTATCTACTCTGTCATTTGCTTATTTCAGTTGCCACTCTCACTGAATTTAAGAGTTCTAAAAGCATTTCAGCCATCAAATACTACTGTTATTATAATATCTTCCTCTTCTTTCTGATTTTTCTCTCTCTAAAAAGCCTGGTTTCTTCCTTTTCCCTCAGACTAGCATTCAAGTGTTGTAATCTCAGTTGAGAAAAAACCTAAGCTGTACCAGATTACCATGGAGAATACTCAACAGGAAGAAGGCTTTATGGTCTGGGGAGAACAAAGATAGTGTTAGCTGGCTTCCTCTCGGGGCTCATCTTGATGGTGTTCAACTATACGGCTGCAGTCATGGGGTTCTTCTGTCGAGGATCCTGGGTTCGATAAGGGTACTGGTCTGGGCTGCCCCCATGGGGGCCTGGTCTGCCTATTTCCTGGTAGGCTGGTGCTCTGTGGTGCTGAGGAGGGGAAGGTGGAACATCTTGTCGGAAGGGTCCTTTGTGCTGGGGGGCTGGCGGGGGTGGGTAATACTGAGGATACCGGAGATCTGTGACCCTCAGATCCGGGAGGCGGGGATAGCCCCCTTTTGGAGGATGCACAGGGTGAGGCCCTGGGTAGTAAGGAAGCTCCCTTTCCTTGTAGAGCCCTCGAGGTCCAGCTGTCAGATAGTCTACAGGATCCACAGGTCCTCCCCTAGAAAAAGAAGAACAGACACATGTCAGCAACTACTAAGCTAACTGTCCAGCTGAAGACCAATTTTCTCAGTCTTCTGTACAGTTTGTGTGCCCATAGACCAGGTATTGGGCAATGGGATGCGTGAAGAACTAATATGTGCCTTTGAAAGATGAGAAGGAACCTTCTTTCTTTCTCTCCCTCCTGTTGGCCATTGGGTGGCCATCTTAGACCACAGGTGAAAGCTACATGCTGAGGAAAGCAGAGCAACAAGAGGGCAAGAACCTGGGTCCCCAACAGCAGGGAGCCACAATGTCAACCCAGGATTGCTTATGCTTAGATTGGAATGTGAGAGAGAAATTGTCCTCTATTTTGTTTAAACCCTCTTATGTTGGCTTTATTATATTAGCTAAAGTAACCAAGATGATGACTTTGACCCTCTTAAATGTTGCAATCATTAGAATCCTCCCTTTCTCTGCTGAAGCCAGTCTGGATGTGGTAGTAGAAATGCACAGGCTATTCACAGTTAGAACTTTCCCATGGATGGCATTCCCTTCTCTTTTAGGCTGTGGGGTGCTCTTTCAGTGGGCTATGTTGTTGTTGTTGTTGTTGTTATGTGCTGTCAAGTCAGACCTGCCTTTTGGTTAGCAGTCAAGTGCCTTTGGCACTACGCTACCAGAGCTCCTTTCAACGGGCTACAGTCTTGGTTAAAGCAGCCAGTGGTGTCAGTGGTAGAATTCTCGCCTTCCATGCAGGACACCTGTACACCATTCCCAGCCACTGCATCCCAAGCGCAGCCACCACCCATCTGTCAGTGGAGATCTGCTTGTTGCTATGATGTAGAACAGGTTTCAGGGGAGCTTCCAGATGAAAATGGACTAGGAAGAAAGGGGTGGCAACTTACTTCCAAAAATCAGCCCGTGAAAACTCTCTGGATTGCAATGATCTGATCTCGTGCAAGGGTGGGGTCACCATGAGTCAAAGGACAACTCAACAACAGCAACAACAGTCTCGGTTAAACTCTGGTGGGCTGCTCTCACAGCCCTGTGGACATAGGTGTGTCTTCCTCCCTCTACAATGCCTAGAAGTTCCAACCCAAAGAGCTGGGAATGACCCACCTAGAGCTTTGATAAAGTAATTATACTGCAGACAATAAGTGCTACCAGGCCAGTAGCCGAATGGGGAAAACCAAGCCAGCTGCAAGTCGCACTCTGGGATGGAGAGACTACTGAAAGGTCCAGGGCAAGAATAAACACTAACAGAAAGGGACCCCGTCTGGATCTCTGCTAAAGACAACAAGTGTCTTCTGATCCATTTGCCATAACAGAAGCAATACGTCCCTAAATAATGTGCAGATGACTGCATTTTATCTAGCCTGGGGATAAACAGATGAGTTCTGTTTGCAGCTCTTAAAATCCCATAAACCTTCTGTGTACTTACTCACCACTACCAGATCCTTCCCACTGTTTCTCGCTCCTCCTTTTATTTCTCCTTTTTAAAGGAAAAATGGCAACAACAATAATTAATGAAAAGCTCTCCGATGTCAGAGTACAAACTACTAGAGCACTTGAAAAGAATGACAGGGCTGCAAGAATATAGTATCTGTGGTTAATCAAGCACTGTCAGTGAGGGTCAAAATCACCCTGTAATCTGCAGAGTCTGATGTTAAAACAGGCCTGCGAGTCCCCCAAATAAAAGAAGGTTTGACAAGCTTGGTGCCTATGGAAAACGGCACATGGACCCGTCCATAATGACGAATGAGAGAATTCTCTGTCCCCTTTTTTGCATCTTAATCTGGTTCTGTATAATAATAATAATGAGAGGTAGATCCTTGAGCTTTGGGCAATTTGGTTAGCGAGAGTTTTCAGATTAAAAAAAAATTAAATTGTTTACGTACAAGTTATTATAGCACCGACCACTATTATTCAGCGCAGTTTGCTTTGCTCCACTTTAAATTGCCCATGACAAATAGAGAAGAAATACACACTCTCCCACTCTAGCCCTGGGAAATAAAGGATTAGGATTTTTACCTTCCCTCTCCTTGCAATTGCATTTTTTTTTTAAATTAAGAAAATTTCCACTGTACGTTATATCTTTTATCATAAAATGTTTAAAGTCCCTTCTACTCCCTGCCCTCATTTCTATTTCCTTTTCATTCATGTTAGAGATTTCAGAAACACTTAAAAAAAAATCCTTAACCTGTGCTTTCTCACAAAACCTACTGAAGATATTTCTCTGCATGAAGTGAAACATGTGGTTTTTCTGCACTCATTTTAAGCCCTCGGGACAAATCACTGACATTTGCAACACACAAACATTATCTGCCTTAAAATGAACATACAACCAGTGCTCCCTCCGGACTCTCTTAACCTGAATGTTTCCTGTTTAAAATGGAAAGGGAGTAAGGAGGAATTCCAGGCCTTGGACTTTGAGGGTTCTGTTCCCTCCCCGGAGGGTTGTCTCTTTTAAAAGAGAACGTTATAAAAGACAGGCACGCCTTGACTTTTTTTATTTTTTTGAGAGGCAAGCCAGATCAAGTGGTGATGAGGCAGAAGCCACCCTGTAGATGCCGCGACAGCGCAGGCTGTGTGCACGTGGGCGGACTGTGGCTTATCTTCCTTCCCACACCTCGTCGCTCTCACACATCCGATTCTCCCAGTGAGAAGGGAGGTTTCCCATGGGCAGGTGGAGCAGAACTCAAGATAGGTTTGCCGTCCCCACTGCCTCCTCTGGGGGCAGGTTTTCTGTCTGGGAGTTCATTCACATGTGGTAGAAACCCAGTGAGTAGCTGTTCTTTGTCAAGCAATGAAATCCTGGAAAGCGTCTTGTTCTGTAGAACTCATCATAGCAGTTACCGTTTTTAATTTTTCAGAGAGAAGAAAAACAATGAGCTGGCTTATGAAAACAAAGTTTAAGGTTCAAAGAATGCTCGAAGAGAATTTTTCTTTTCTTTATTTTTTGGAGGGGGTGCTGCTGTGGTTTACACAGCCCACAGGTTCAACTACTCAGTCACTCTGGGTAGCTGGCTGTGACCAAGAAGGGACTACAAAAGAAGCATTTTCTACAAGGTTTTGTGGAAATCACTTCTGAGGCTTGCTAGCCTTAATGTATGTATGCGAGTGTGTTTACACATATATATTTATAAGAACACTTTTTAAACAGGAAAAAAAACAAAAAACAAAAAACAAACTCCTCATTACAAACTTGATCCAAAACTAGAAGAGGGAATTAAAATTTTAGCACTGTTAATCTTTTAATTAATTTATTTATTTTTAAAAATGGTGATTAGAGTGAAAATTTACAGAGCAAATTCACTTTCCATACAGCAGTTCACTTACACTTTGTCTCATGACATTGACCACAATTCACCCCAATGCAACCGCTCCCCTCCCACTTCCTCCAGGTAGTTTCCTCTTCCCTGTGTCCATCCCTCCATGCACTCCTCCCCTGAGCTGTCTCCCTGTGCATAAACAGCCCTTCTTTCTCCCGTGATTGATCGCTCCAAGGAGTGTGTCTACCTCAGGTAAATGTTCAACTCATATGCCTGTCTTTTGTTTGTCTGGAAGCCACAGTGTGGGTCCAGTTTCAGACCTGAAGGGCAGCTAGGGGCCATAGTGTCAGGGGTTCTACCAGGCTCTATCAGACCAGAAAACCTGGTCCCCCTTTTTTTTCCCCAAATAATTTTGAGTTTTGTTCCACATTGTTCTCCATCTCTATCCAGGGTCTCCTACAGAGATCCCCCTCCGAGCAGTTGACAGCAGCAGCTGGGCACCATCTAGTTCTTCTGGTCTCAAAGTCATATAGGCTGCAGATCACATGGTGTACCAGTCGCTAGGACTAATTGTTTCCATGAATTTTCAGTTTTCTTCACTCTTTTTTGCTCTGGACTAGGAGAGACCCATCATTGCATCTAGATGGCTGCTTGCAAGGTTTTAAGAGCCCAGTCACTACTCACCTAAGTAGGAGGTGGAACAATGTTTTGTGTAGTATGTTATGCCAATTGAGCTTGATGTTCCCTGTGACTATGGTCCCAAGCCCACAGGTTCAACTACTCAGTCACTCTGGGTAGCTGGCTGTGACCAAGAAGGGACTACAACCTTGTCCTTGTCAGCTCTACTATGTCGTTGTTGTTGTTATGTGCTGTCGAGTCGGCCCCAACTCATAGCGACCCCTCCTTGAGTTTCTGAGGCAGTATCACTACGGAAGTAGATTGCCCAACCTTCCTTCTGAGGAGTGGCTGTGGGGTTTGAACCGCCAGCCTTCTGGTTAGCAGTCAAGTGTCTTAGGCACTACTCCACCAGAGCTCCCTAGGAATTCTTACAGATTATACAAATACCCTTATAGGACCATTATCTGCCAACCCTATACATGGTCTTGGGTACACTCCCTGCTGTATAGACATACCTAATAGTTCAGCTTGTCCACTCATCTATCCACCCATATACCCAGGTTTGCCTTCACTGACAACACAATAGTGTATGTGCAGAAGGGTTCATCTTTGTTGTCTGTACCTCCCATGTACCTCTCTCTGTCTTCCTCTTCCTCAATGCCACCATGTTGATCACTCAGATTTGGTACATTGCCCTTCTCTTCACCCACATCAATACTTATCTCTTCCCTACCCTACCCTCTAACCACTGGTAACCAACAAAGAAAATTTCCTTCCATACATAAACCTTTCCTTGACTTTTATCATAATGGATGTTCTGGTTACCTAGTGCCACTCTGACAGAAATACACCACAAGTGGATGGCCTTACCAAATAGGAGTTTATTCTTACAATTTGGAGGCTTTAAGTCCAAATTCAAAATGCCAGGCTCTAGGGTTGCAGCTCTGCCTCCTGCTCCCGGCCCACTGAAGCTGGAGGCTTTTCTTCACTCAGCTGCTGGCTGCTGATAAATCCAAGGTTGACAAGTAAAAAAACACAGTCCCGATGTTACCAACCCACACAGCAGGGCATTACTTCAAGTCCATTTTAAGTCCCAAGGTTGGCAGAGCATGGCAGACTGTTGAACAATGAC